TTTAATTCAGATCGACCTCAGTCGGATCGATTAAGGTGTTTACATGAAAGCTTTTCAGTCCGTTTGATCCATCAGTCCGATTACTAACGGATTATTTGGGTGCATTACGAGCACAGTATAGCGGCTGACAGGCCAGGAAAATTTGTTTTTACTGACATATGGCCTGCTAACAGCTCATCTGATTGCAGTTCACTGTTGTTCTACTGAAAGTACCTCCTCACCTGTATCTTTTCCGCGCTCGTTTGATTACTGCCTAGCGCTGAGGTGAAGTTGGAGTGCGCGTCTGAAAGTCTCCCGTTTGATGTGATCGTAAAGATGTGCATCTAAATAAATGCAATTCTTGTCAAGAAAAAAGAGACAGAAGCAGCAGTTGTCTCTCAAAAGAGAGATTATTAAGACCAGCCAGAGTGTAATTTTTGCGTACGTGTGCTTTCAGATATTTTTTCTTATATTTAGAATAAATTTTAGTATGAAAGTTTTAGTGAATCATGACTTATTTGTGAAAACGTTCATGTGCAGGTTTCACTTACAAATTTGGGCATACACATGCTTAGTGAATGAGACCCATTGTCCCATTTTGGCTAAAAAACAACAACAACAACAAAAAAACACAAAAGTAATACTCTTCTCCAAAGAAATAAGATTTTTTTTTTCTCTCCAGATGAGTACACTGTAACATTTACTTCAAGTTGTGTTTTTCCCTGTTCCTGTTCCCCTGTCCTGTTAAGTTCCATTTACCTAGTTTCCCGTATTGTCTTGATTATGTCATTCTGTTCACCTGTGTTCCTTTAATTAACTCATTAGTCTCCTTACTTATACTCCATGTTCTGTTCAGTCCTTTGCCGGTCATTGTTTTGATATGTTTTGTGTGTACGTCTGCTCCTCCTTGTTGTTTTCTCTGTGGATTTATTATTAAAGACTGTTTATTGGATTACCCCTTTGTCATACACTTTAATCAGCTCAGCACCTTAGCAGAATAACCAGCCTAAACAGTAAGGTTAGCGGCGTTTTCCTTTTTGTTTATTTTTGCTTTTGTTTCATGGATCCCGCCGTCCAGCTCCTCCTGCTCGAGCAAGAGGATCGCTCCCTTGAGGACCATATGAGGGACTTTTTAGATCTCACCCATCTAACGCATTACCTTGGCAGCTGCCTATGCACGTTTTATTAGGTGGGACTGAACACCACCACTAAGCTGTCCTGGCATGGTCCTCGAGGGAGTTTTGCCGTTTTCGTGGAGTGGGTGCTGGAACAAAATGGACTGTATTCCCCCATCTGCACAGCTGAGGAGGACATCTCCAGCCCCACTCCAGAACTGGTGGAGATCGAGGGCATGGAGGGAAGCCCCGCCCACACTCCCGTCGCTGAGGGTGAGCTGCAACAGGCCTTTGAGAGCTATTATTACTTTCTTTTAAGGACTTTGAAAAAGTGATTAATGTATTTGTCTCAACAAAATTAGACTACTGTAGCTCCCTTTATATGGGCATTAATCAGTCCTCTCTGGCCCGTCTTCAGATGGTACAGAATGCCGCTGCCAGGCTTCTTACAGGTGTTCGAAAACGAGAACATATTACTCCAGTTTTAATTTCTTTGCACTGGCTCCCAGTCCATTTTAGAATTGATTTTAAAGTGCTGCTACTGGTTTTTAAATGTTTGAATGGTCTAGTACCTGGATATTTGTCTGATTTACTCTCCATTTACAATCCAGCTAGGTCTCTGAGGTCATCCAATCAGACACAACTAAATGTTTCGAGGGCTAGTTTGAAACTAAGAGGTGATCGTGCTTTTTCCATTGCTGCACCGAAACTCTGGAACAGTTTACCTGTGTACATTAGAACTGCTACCTACGGTACATGATTTCAAGGGAAAGCTTAAAACATATTTATTTTCTTTAGCATTTAGTTAATTTGTTTATTTACTGATTTTAAGTGTGTATAATCTGTATGTCGTAATTGTTTTTATTGAAGGCTTTGCTATTTTGTTCAGCACCTTGGTCAATAGTTGTTGTTTTTAATGGTGCTATATAAATAAATTAAAAATATATATATTATGAGGAACTTTTGGACATTTTTGAGGAGGATCTTATTGACTGGGTTGGGGAAGTGGTGCTCTATGTTCCTGAGCTCCCTGTGACTCAAGTTCCCACCCAGCCTCCTTCTCCCGCCTCCTCTCCTTATGTCAGCCTGTTCCTCAGCCCGGTCTCTGCTTGTTCCTGTCAGTCCCTCAGCTCACCCTCAGTTAGTTGGGCATGAGAATCCCCTGTCTCTGCCTCCAGCTTCTGAGTCCCGGACTCCACCTCAGTCCTCCGACCGATTGGCTCCGCCTTGGCTCCTAGCTCCCTCGTCTCCACTGTGGCCCGTCATCCCACTGGCTCCACCGGACTCAATCGTCCCTCCGGCTCCGCCTTGGTCAGTCGTCAACCATCCGTCACTTAAGGACTCCACTCCTCTGGCTTTGTCTTGTCACTCCGTTCCTCTGGCTCTGTCAGGCTCCTCCTTCCCTTCGGCTACACCTTCATCCTCAGTCGCTCCGGCTCTGCCTCGGTCTTCCAGGTCCCTGTCTTTGCCTCACTCGCAGGAGCCATCGCTTGGGCGGAGCCGACAGGGCATGAAGCTTGAGCTTGGGCAGAGCCGGCAGGGCATGAAGCTTGAGCTTGGGCGGAGCCGGCAGGTCATGAAGCTTGGGCGTCGCCGGCAGGGCAAGGAGCTTGGGCGGCGCCGGCAGCGCAAGGAGCTTGGGCGGCGCCGGCAGGGCACCAGGCTCTAGGGAGGCCTCCCGGCCTTGAAGGACGGAAGAAGCCTT